CCCAGAATAATTGCTACACTCTGTAATGGAGCCTCTGGGAGCAACAACTATTTTCCTGGCAGTGTGCATCTCTTGCCTTCTTTTCCTTTCAGCATGGAAAAAGATGTCTGGAAGTGGGAATCTGCCACCTGGCCCTGTTGCTTTTCCCATCATAGGAAATGCACTGCAGCTGTATAAGAAGAACTTGCCCCAATCAATGCGTGAGGTAAAAGTATTTGTTTCTCATCTATTGTTTGGTTGTAGGTGGGGTTAAGCAGAGCGTAGCTCAAGCAGAACTCTGTGAAATGTCTGGCATTTACACAGTGACAATCCCATGTCACTCAACTCCTCATAGTTCAGTCTTAATTCCTCCCCCACCCCTGCAAAAAAAAAATCAATCTTGAATGCTAGATATAAACTGTTCATGTTAACGTATGCCTTTTAGTATAGGTGTCTCAGTCACAGGTAATCCAGAATATACCTGCCCAGCTTCACTGCAAGCTGTATAGACAATCACACTGTGGGGGGAGTGGTCTAGTGGGTTCTGTCGAGAAATGGCAGTCAGACCTGGTTTTTATTCCTACCTCTGCAACAGACTCTGGCTCCATCTACACTTGGAGCTTGGGGTCTGATTCCCAGCGCACATGGGCAGACTTATGCCATCAAGCTAATGTGCTAAAAATAGTAATAGCTGCAGAAGGGTGGGTTAGCCACTCTAAGCATAAACCTACTTGTACCCCTGGGGTATGTACTTGGGGCAGCTAGCCCATGCCACGCTCTCTGCTACTGTGGCTATGCCACTGTTCTTAGTGGGCTAGCCCAATGAGAGCTGGCATGAGTAGGTCTGCTCGAGTTGGGAATCAAACCCGTAGCCCCAAGTGCAGATGTAGCCCATGGGTGCATCCAAGTAAGTCACCTAAGCGCTCAATTTCCCCATCTGTAAAATTGCTGTAATGATATTTGCCTGCTTCACAAGGGGATGGTAAGGTGTCAACTGCAGGTCAGCTATGAAAAAATGGCTTTGTTCTGCCCATGCTATTGTTTCACTATAATTGTCATCTCAAATACCATCATCTCACATGCGAATGGCAATCCACAGCCTGGGATCTGACTGCCAAGTTGGTTTCTTTCCTTCTTGCTCACCATCGCAAATAATAAAAGTTAAACAGGAGAAACTCTGCCCCCAGTTACATCTGTTCAACCTCATTCTCATTGAATCCTACCATAAAGAGTTACAGATATGTAACCCCATTGTGGTTGATTTGCACAGGTGTAATGGATTGGAAATTAGGCAGTAAGTCTATTTGTAATGTAAAAGGGGAAACAGAATCTCACTCCACTCTCTCTCTGGCTCTGCAGGGCTGACAGGAATAAGGAAAAACTGTCTTGTCATTATAAAGTCAGCAGATGTTGCTATGAATAAATGGAGGCAGGAGTTCTGTGGCGTTAGAAGTGTCATTTGTACACAGTCATTTTTCAGAATAGAACTGAATTGTCATTAGTTAAATAATGCAAATTGCTAGAGCTCACAAATGAAAGGACCTGCATTAATTCCAACTGCTATCAGGATGAGATAATTATATAACACAGATAGAATGATTCTTCTTTCACACTCACTCTATCTCTCTAGGATAAACACAGTGTTAACAGAACATTAAGATTAGAAACTGAAGCAAAAGTCAGGCAATTTCCAAGTCAGAATAGTAAACTCTGACTAGTATTATCTTAGCCGCATATGAGCTTTTTTATTAATTTGTAATTTGATCTGATCACATTCTTATTCTTAATTAAGTGGATTTATGTTAAAACGTGCTGGTTTTGTGTGTTGATTTTGACAGCTCAGTGCAAAGTACGGCCCGATTTTCACAATATATTTGGGCTCAGAGCGGGTTGTGGTGCTGTATGGACATGAAGTTGTGAAGGAAGCGCTGATTGATCAAGGGGACGAGTTCAGTGACAGAGGACGTATGCCAGTATTTGAAGGTTGCCTGACAAAAGAGGTAAATTTCCAGTAACATCAGCATATAGAGCTGATGTTCTCTGTATGTGGGGAACAGAACTGAGACGACACAAGGGGAATGGTGGTAACATCTCACTACAGGTGAGTGAGAGGCAGTGACTAGGCCATCGCATAATAGAAGGGCCAGAATACAGCCAGGAGACCAGAGCTGGAGAGGTCAAGAAGGTCATGAATTCCTATCCTCTTTTTCCCCTGCTCAGTGGTGTAACAAGGCCCAGAGGGCCCTTGTCCATGAATAGATTAGGTGGCCCCTTTTTCAAATCACAGGCCATAGCCCCCAACCTTCCTCCCTCCCCCACAACATCCCAGCCTACAACTCACCTCATCACCCCCAAAATCCACTATTTCCCCCCACACCTCTCACATCTCACCTCACTTGCCCTCAATCCCTCACCCTGTAGATCACTGATGCTTCCCACTCACCCTATAACACCTCAACAACTGGCCCTCCAGCCCTTCACCTACTGCCCCTGAGACCTTCCTGGCCACTCACTGGTGCCCCCGCAGTTCAGCGCTCCACTGCCATCCCAGGCTAGGGCTGCTCCGCCCAATCCTGGCTGCCCAGTGGTGCCCATCTCCCACCCCACACTCACATGGCCTGAGTCCAACTGGAGTGATGAATGGGATTGTGACTTGGCGCACAGGGTTGCATCACCACTCAGGTTTCGGCTGGCTACTCCTCTGTCATGACAAAGGGCAGCCAGTCCAAACCTGAGTGCTCAGTTGCAGTGCCACTCAGAGCTGGTCCGGCTGCTCCTCCGTCCGACCCCATGCTCCAGGTGATGTGCTGGAGCACTGCTCCATCTGGTTGAGCCCCAATAAACTTCTGGGCATTGGCAACTGCACCACTTGTGCCATTGTAGCCATGCCACTGCCTGTCCTCACTAGACTAGGTATGTCCCAGGAGGGGTGGAGGATTATTTTTATTATTGTTTCACTTTGTTGCCTGAGCTTTAGATTATGTATTAGTTATATAGATTACTTAAGAATTCCCAGTTATCACTTTGAGGGTTGCCAGGTTCTTGCCCCCAAGATCAGGCCCAGAATTAGTAAAATTATTAAAATCATAGAATCATAGAATATCAGGGTTGGAAGGAACCTCAGGAGGTCATCTAGTCCAACCCAATGCTCAAAGCAGGACCAATCCCCAACTAAATCATCCCAGCCAGGGCTTTGTCAAGCCTGACCTTAAAAACCTCTAAGGAAGGAGATTCCACCACCTCCCTAGATAACCCATTCCAGTGCTTCACCACCCTCATAGTGAAAAAGTTTTTCATATTATCCAACCTAAACCTCCCTCACTGCAACTTGAGACCATTACTTCTTGTTCTGTCATCTGGTACCACTAAGAACAGTCTAATCCATCCTCTTTGGAACCTCCTTTCAGGTAGTTAGACTCATAGACTTTAAGGTCAGAAGGGATCATTATGATCATCTAGTCTGACCTCCCACATGATGCGGGCCACAAAAGCTGACCCACCCACTCCTGGAATAATTCTCTCCCTTGACTCAGCTGTTGAAGTCCCCAAATCATGATTTAAAGACTTCAAGTCGCAGAGAATCCTCCAGCAAGCGACCTATGCCCCATGCTGCGGAGGAAGGCGAAAAATCTCCAGGGCCTCTGCCAATCTACCCTGAAGGAAAATTCCTTCCCGACCCCAAATATGGCGATCAGCTGAACCCCAAGCATACAGGCAAGATTCTCTAGCCAGACCCTCCGGAAAAAGTTCTCTAGTAACTTTTAATATCCCATCGTTGACCATTGTTACTAATTACCAGCGATGGCATGTTATTGACCTATTGACTAAAATCATTTTATCCCATCAAACCATCCCCTCCATAAACTTATCAAGCTTAATCTTAAAGCCAGAGAGGTCTTTCGCCCCCACTGTTTCCCTTGGAAGGCTGTTCCAAAACTTCACCCCTCCGATGGTTAGAAACCTTCGTCTAATTTCAAGCCTAAACTTCCCGACGGCCAGTTTATATCCATTTGTTCTCATGTCCACATTAGTACTGAGCTGAAATAATTCCTCTCCTTCCCTGGTATTTATCCCTCTGATATATTTAAAGAGAGCAATCATATCCCCCCTCAGCCTTCTTTTGGTTAAGGTAAACAAACCGAGCTCCTCGAGTCTCCTTTCATACGACAGATTTTCCATTCCTCGGATCATCCTAGTGGCCCTTCTCTGTACCCGTTCCAGTTTGAATTCATCCTTTTTAAACATGGGAGACCAGAACTGCACACAGTACTCCAAATGAGGTCTCACCAGTGCCTTGTATAACGGAACCAGCACCTCCTTATCCCCACTAGAAATACCTCGCCTAATGCATCCCAAGACCGCATTAGCTTTTTTCACGGCCATGTCACATTGCCGACTCATAGTCATCCTGCGATCAAGCAGGACTCCGAGGTCCTTCTCCTCTTCCGTTACTTCCAACTGATACGTCCCCAGCTTATAACTAAAATTCTTGTTAGTCATCCCTAAATGAATAACCTTACACTTCTCACTATTAAATTTCATCCTATTACTATTACTCCAGTTTATAAGGTCATCCAAATCTCCCTGCAGGATATCCCGATCCTTCTCCGAATTGGCAATACCTCCCAACTTTGTGTCATCCGCAAACTTTATCAGCCCACTCCTACATTTGGTTCCGAGGTCAGTAATAAATAGATTAAATAAAATCGGACCCAAAACCGAACCTTGAGGAACTCCACTGGTAACCTCCCTCCAACCTGACAGTTCACCTTTCAGTACGACCTGCTGCAGTCTCCCCTTTAACCAGTTCTTTATCCACCTCTGGATTTTCATATCAATCCCCATCTTTTCCAATTTAACCAATAATTCCTCATGCAGTACCGTATCAAACGCTTTACTGAAATTGAGGTATATTAGATCCACCGCATTTCCTTTATCTAAAAAATCTGTTACTTTCTCAAAGAAGGAGATCAGGTTGGTTTGGCATGATCTACCTTTCGTAAAACCGTATTGTAATTTGTCCCAATTGGCATTGACCTCAAGGTACTTAACTACTTTCTCCTTCAAAATTTTTTCCAAGACCTTGCATATTACAGATGTTAAACTAACAGGCCTGTAGTTACCCGGGTCACTTTTTTTCCCCTTCTTGAAAATAGGAACCACATTAGCTATTCTCCAGTCAAACGGTACCACCCCCGAGTTTACAGATTCATTAAAAATTATCACTAACGGGCTTGCAATTTCTCGCGCCAGTTCCTTTAATATTCTTGGATGAAGATCATCCGGTCCACCCGATTTAGTCCCGTTAAACTGTTCGAGTTTGGCTTCTCCCTCGGATACGGTAATGTTAACCCCCCCCTCCTTTATTCCCATCCATCACGCTGCCACTATTCCTAAGCCTTCATTAGCACCTATCAGGTAGCTGAAAGCAGCTATCAAATCCCCGCTCATTCTTCTGTTCTGCAGACTAAACAATCCCAGTTCCCTCAGCTTCTCCTCATAAGTCATGTGCTCCAGCCCCCTAATCATTTTTGTTGCCCTCCGCTGGACTCTTTCCAATTTTTCCACATCCTTCTTGTAGTGTGGGGCCCAAAACTGGACACAGTACTCCAGATGAGACCTCACCAATGTCGAATAGAGGGGAATGATCACGTCCCTCAATCTGCTGGCAATGCCCCTACTTATACAGCCCAAAATGTCGTTAGTCTTCTTGGCACCAAGGGCACACTGCTGACTCATATCCAGTTTCTCATCCACTGTAACCCCTAGGTCCTTTTCTGCAGAACTGCTGCCTAGCCATTCGGTCCCTAGTCTGATGCAGTGCATGGGATTCTTCCGTCCTAAGTGCAGAACTCTGCACTTGTCCTTGTTGAACCTCATCAGGTTTCTTTTGGCCCAATCCTCTAATTTGTCTAGGTCCCTCTGTATTCTGTCCCTACCCTCCAGCGTATCTACCACTCCTTCCAGTTTAGTGTCATCGGCATACTTGCTGAGCGTGCAATCCACACCATCCTCCAGATTATACAGTTGGGAACCCTGATGTGCACAGTTGCAACACTCACACTATAGGAACTCTTTTATATTTACAAACATCATTTATTAATACATTTAGTCCTGTCACAAACACCCCAACTCAGTAAGGTAGATAGAGATACTATGGAATGTACATCTGCACATCCATATACTCACACCATCCCTTGTAGAATAACCTGAAATGCTAGCCATCATCTTCCTCATCACCGTCACCTCCCTCATCATCACCAGTGACCATCATTCTGGCACCTCCCAAGGACTACATCTCTCTCTCCTACTGCCCTAGGTTGGGATGCCACTTTTATAGTATGTTACGCTGATGTTGCTATGTTTGATGCATATTCAGTAGGGGATTTCTTCCCTTTTCCTTATTTGTATTTCCTCACCTTACTAATGTTGGAGTGTCTTTTTCCTATAGATTGGTACATCAATGATCTCAACTTATTATCATATACGTCCATTCATTACCATAGCCTTTTGTTGTTAGGTATCACATTTGTTATTTTTGTCCTAACTGGTTATTTTGGTTCTTTCCAAGTTCCAAGTTGTGGTGTACCTGCTAAGTTTAAAAGGGTCTGAACATAGGAAAGCCCCTGTGCCAACCTGCTTTAATGCATCCTCTATGTTAAAGGTCACAGCCCTACATGGACCTTATGCTTTAGCTCATCACCATCTATCTAGGTAAAGGTCCCAAACATATGTATGCTAACTTTGCCTTACCTCAACATACAGGGTGTGGCCTGCAGGCCCCTTGTGTTACAGCCAAAATATACTCTAATATAAACCTGTTATAATAAAACAAATAATCAAACCCATAAGAAAATGAGAAATGTATAAGAAAAGATATATAGGCAAGCAAGCAGGCTCTTAGATGTATCTCGTGTACCTGTTATGTACGTCAGTTCATTGCCAGGACACTTCTGTGGTTGAATTATTTACCTGTGGTCAGAACTTCCCTTTAAACTCTATTTTCAACTCCCCAAATACTTCGGGTTTTCTGTTGGGCCGTTTATCTGTTCAAAATTCATAGGCCTCAAGCTTTATATTCACTTGCTGAAGCTGATATCGTACAGGATACAGGCCTGCAGGTTTCTTGCATTACTGCTGAATATAATGCAAAGCAGAATATAACGAAGGCAAACTAGTCCACTGGGGTACAACTTGGAGCTCTCAGTTTTTTGAGATTCTTTAGCAGTGAGGGAACAATAACTGGGGGAACACCAAGATGGCCTCTTTCGGAAAGTGGTTTGTTTCATTCATGCATTACAGTTACCCGCTCGTGTAGTTACTTTATTACACATTAAAAACTATATTAAAAGAAAGCAGCCTGCAAAGTCAAGTCCTCGAACGTAAGGAAATGCAGAATTAAGGCGACCTGTGTGACTTTAAATCTGCTGTGTTGTGGCAGAATTATTAACTTCCTCATGGGCTTTTTTTATCCAGTTCATCACCTGAGCGATTCACAAATATTTATTAATTTATCTTCACAGCACCGCTGGGAGGTGAGGGGGTATTATCATCCCAATTTTACAGCTTGGGAACTGAGGCAGAAAGATTACGGTAAAACCACTAATTTTGGGTCTCCCGTTTGAGATGCCCAGGAACAGATTTTTTCAGAGGACTCAGATTTATGTATGTTCAAAGCACAGCTCCCATTGACTTGAGTTGCTGTGGGGGTGCTCAGCACTCCAGGGGCTCAAGTTGGGCACCCAGAAAATGAAGAACACAAGGATAGTGACTACCTGAAAAAAATTTGGTTGAAGGGATTTGTCTAGTTGCATCACATAGGAATGCAGTGGCTGGTAGAAGGGTAGAATCCAGTTCTCCGGGGCAGCATTCTACTGCAAGTTCATGAGACCATCCTTTCTCTTCCTGCAGTTCTCTTCCTCATTCACGGCACTTCTCCCAGGTTCTGCAACAAATAAGGCCAGGTTGCAGAGACAACAGCCTCCTTCACTACAGTACTCCGATTCATTGACAAATCAGGTTCATCCTCTGCACTGAATGAGGCTGGGCACCCTGTAGAAAAAATAATGTGTGGCTCATAGAATTAATGACTGCATCATAAAGGCACAAGATAGGGTTGCCCCCACAATCTTAATTCTGGCATTTCCTAACCTTTGAGTGCTTGTCTTTGCAATGTTAATGTTGTTTTAAAATATTTTTGTGTGTGTAATTTCCTAGCATTTTAAAAAAGCAAAAATTCCATCATCTGGCCTCATATTGACACCCGCATGGTTCGTCACCAAGGTTGGAATCGTTAGATCCCTGGCACAGACCTCTGCCACTTGAACTAATGGAGTAACTGATAGCAATAGTAGGTTGTCCTTTTCTGTATGGAACAGTGGTAGATAGAGATGAGATATAGACTTTGCCAGTAGGTTTCACAGATATTTGTTGACAGCAGACAAGCGGTGAGTCTCAGGAATGTCGGGTTCCGTTCCAGTCTCTAAGGGGAGTGTTCTCTAGTAGTTACAGACCCTTCTGCTTGTTCCTCCCAAGCTTGACCACTTTTGCCCTGTCCCCTCCAATCTATATCCCTGCCCCAGTCCTTTCTTGTCCCACCCCTGGCTCCTCTTCCCAGTCCCATTCTCCTTGCCTTCCTTACTCAGATTTCTCATCCCAGCCCCAGTCTCCTTGCCCAGATAATCCTATTTCTCCCCTCTGGGCTCCCTGTCCAAGGCCCAGTCTCCTCCCTGCCCTCATTCTAACTCTGTCTCTTTCTCCCTACCCCTAGAGCCCATCTCCTTGCCCAGTCAGTCCCAATTTTCCCCTCTGGCTTCTCGTCATTCCCATCCATCCAGGTTCCTTCTCCTAGTCTCCCCCTTTGCTGGCTCTTGTCCCAGTTTCTTTGCCAAGCCAGTCCCAGTTCTCCCCCTGCACCCTGCCTCCTTCTCAGATAGGTTGCCCATCTCCCCTTTTCCCCCTCACACTGATTCATGGTCCCAGTTTCCTTGCACAGCACCTGCTCATCCCCCAGTTCCTCATCTGATCTGAGTGAGTTCTCCTTCCATCCCTGCCAACTGGGTCCCAATCCCTCCTGTTTTCGTGGCCATTTCCCAGTCCCAGTCACTCCTCCCAGCTCCCTGTCCCAGTCTCCTGGCCCAATCAGACCCAGGCTCCTCTCCCTTCGCTGGCTCTTAGTTCCAGTCTCCTTTACCCCCGCCCCACTCCCAGCTGCAATTAGAGGGACAGTCTGGCTTTCCCCTCTAGTCCTGGAATAGAGCATGCTTAGGTGCTCTGTGAACATGGTGCATGCATAGAATGGTCAACACTAGGAGCTGAGAAGACAGAATGTTATGTTATTTTAGCCACTAAACCAGGAGTGGACAAACTTTTTGGTCCGAGGGCCACATCTGGGTGGGGAAATTGTATGCAGGGCCATGAATGTAGGGCTGGGGCAGAGGGTTGGGGTGCAGGAGAGGGTGCAGAGAGTGGGAGGGGGCTCAAGGTAGAGGGTTAGAGGGCTCAGGGCGGGGGGTTGGGGTGAGGGGTGCAGGAGAGGTTTGGGGTGTGGGCTGTAGCCCGGCACAGCTTACCTTGAGTGGCTCCGGGGTGGCAGCAGCATGCAGCGGGGCTAAGGTAGTCTCCCTGCCTGCCTTGGCCCCGCCCCGCTCCCAGAAGTGGCCAGCATGTCCGGCAGTGGCTCCTGGGGGTGGGGTGGGGCAGGCGGCTTTGCCGCACACTGCCCTCGCCTATGGGTACCACCCCCAAAGCTCCCATTGGCCACAGTTCCCCATTCCCAGCCAATGGGAGCTGCAGGGGGCGGTGCCTGCAGGTGAGGGCAGCACATGGAGCCCTCTGCCACCCCCTCTCTCAGGGGCTGCCGGGACATGGTGCCGGCCACTTCCGGGAGCAGCGTGGGGCCTGGGCAGGCAGGGAGCCTGCCTTAGCCCTGCTGTGCCACAGGGTTGGCAATCCCACAGGCCAGATTGAAAGCCTTGACAGGCCGGATCTGGCCTGCAGGCCCTAGTTTGACCTCCCCTGCACTAAACCCTAAGGTCTCTACTGAATATGTGCAAACCTTAATGTTCTTTTAACATAGTTTTTGGTGTGTAATTCCCTAGGTTTTTAAAATAGCAAACTGAAAAACCAGAAATTCCATCATGTGGCATCATATTGACACCTACATGGGTCACCAGCAGGGCTGGAACCTTTAGATCCACTGCAAAGACCTTTGCCACTTGAGCTAATGGAGTAACCGATAACAGTAGTAGGTTGTCATCTTTATATGTGGCCCAGCATTAGGAGCTGAGTGGTGCTGGTGTATGTCCAGTGATGACAATATCTTTGGAGACTTTAGTCACTAAACTCTAAGTCTCCACTGACAATATGTGAAATGCGATATTTCAAGGGCTTATAACTTAGTGACATTTGGGTAGATTTTCATGGGGATGGCAAAGTCACACATTGACACATAGGCCAGCCCCTAGCCAAATTTCAAATCCCAGCTCTGACAAATGGGAGTGCTAGAGTTTCTCAAAGAAAAGGTCCCAGCATTTTTTAACATGGGCGGAACAACATATTTTCCCCTAACCTTGTTCATGGAAATGGCTGAATACTTTGGCTGAAATATTCAAAAAACGTTCAACATGAGGGACACGGAAAAAATTTAGCCCAAATGGTTAAAATTTGGCAAACTAATGTGTTTCCCAGTTTACTTCTAATTTGTAGTTTGTGCCAGTACATATACTTTGCTCTAATTACTGTGACTGGAAGAATTCTCATTACTGTGATGGGCCACGCTCTGTTAGAGAACAAACTACAGGTATTGGACATGTTAATTGTGACAGGGTGCTGGCTAAGAAACTCCAATCAAGAAAGGGGAATTGGAACTGACTGAGTAAGCCCAGGCCTAGCTGGCCTCATTAGCTAGGGGCGACATAAAGGCTGGCAGGAAGGAAGCCAAGGGGAGAAGGAAAGGGGAGGAGCCAGAGAATAGAGGGAGTGGGAACTCATCGCTGCTGTCTGCAAGACTGAAGCTGTTTGTAGCTACAAGGTGGTGGGAAAGTAAACTGTAAATAAAGAGCACCTGTGATTACACCAACACAGAGGTCTCTAGCTGGTTTGTGGGCCCAGCAGGAGCAGAAGCTAGAGGGGCCCAGCTGCACCTTGTTACAGTAATGAATTGAATTATTTTTCTTCCTCATAATTGCTCTGAAACTGCAATGAGTTTAATGTGTAGGATATTGTGGTAAATAAACATATCAAACAGATAAAGTACGCTGTGATGACTGTGTAACACAGTCTCCCAAGCAGAACACAGATACAAATAAAATTTGAGTTCAAGGTCATAAACTCAAAAGATTATGAACAGGATTATATGACAGGGTTGACTGCTATAGCAGGGGACTGGACTCAGTGACCCGGAAGGTCCCTTCCAATCTTATGTTCCTATGAAACTTTGAATAAACAATGTTTGGGTGGGTTTGAAAGTCTGGCCCCTCCTTCCTTTCTTTCCCTTTCTCTTCCCTTTTTCAGGTATTTCTATGGCCAGTGCGGTGCCGTGGAAGGAGCTACGCCGATTTACCCTCACCACTTTGAGGGATTTTGGGATGGGGAAGAAGAGCACTGAAGAGCGAATCCTGGAGGAAGCCCATTTCCT